ATAAATATAGTGATTCCATTAGATGTACAGTTTCTCCTATATGCTGACGATCTCAAGCTTCTTTATCCGATTCGGTCTCTTGATGAAAAAAGTTACAGTATAAAATCAACATGCTTAACAGCTGGTGTCGCGAAGCTAGCTTGCCTTTAAACAGTACCAAAAAAATTCAAGCAATCGTACTTAGTTGTAATATCGGTAGTGCGCCCTCTCAATTGCTTAAGCGATGTCAAGGATTTAGGTGTCATTTTTAATAGTAAGTATGGCTTCAATAGGCAATTATTGCTAAGCGTTACAAAACATTGGGCTTTATTATACGATGTGGTAGTACATTACAAGACATTAATACAATCAAGCTTTTATTATGCTTACTCGTTCGTTCAAAGCTTGAATATGCATCAATTTTGTGGCAGCCTTCTTATAACTTTTGGATAGATAAACTTGATTATTTCCCTAGTCTCAATTTCTACCAATCACAAACACTCAATTTTGAATTACAAATGGTAGATGGAAAAATTGTATGACAGCACCTGTCAGCAGTCTACCCGCGGCAAAACTAACAGCTGTTGTCACAAAAAATTACAATACCTTTGATCACAAGTAATTATGGCCTCCTAGGATACCAGAAAACGATGCTAAACAGTTTTTCTGATTTTATTGTTAATAAATATTGTAATAAAGTGTCTTTAAACAGTGCTAGTCCGCTATGTAGTGAACATGAGTCGCTTTGGAAGTGATTCTTTGACCAATATAGATCTGGCGATTGAAAAAAGTGTACTTACTGTACAATACCGTTAAAACCTATACGTCAATATGGAAACAGTTGACGGAATTCTGCAAGGCAAAGAAATACGAGCTTTTGGAAACTACAAGTTGAAAATAACTAAGCATAAAAAGATTGGATGTGGAATATGAAGAAAGAAAACAGTGGAAATTACGAGGAACTAGTTGTGAAGATAATGTGGAATACCGTTGCAAAAAAATGCAGATGTATTTTATGGAGTGGAAAATAGTTTTTGATCCATTTAAATATATTATTATTAAGTCTAGTAGGGAAGCTCCCAATGCGAAACGAAGGAACTTGCATGTGCTCTAAAAAAATACTTTAATAGGTAGTATGTTTTGTAAGCTATGTGTATGCAGTGTATGTATCTGTTACTCATGAACTCGTCTTGTCAAATACCATTTGGGCATCTAATCCTTTCCTATGAAAAAAAACTCAAAAACACAATGCAAAATATTTTTAACAAAAACATTCGCCGCACAGGTGCAAAAATCCTCGTCTTCGACTCGGCACTCATGCTTCTTGTTAAAATATTACTTAGCAACGTGTTTCTGCGATTTATTTCGGAAAAAATAAATTTATGATACTACTTATGAAAGTATCCAGCGACGATTACTGAAATATCTATATTTGGAGTTACCCGCCAATTGGTTACTCTCAAAAATTTTTATAAGAAGCCTCAGTGAAAGGCGTGATAAGTGCTATATCGAAACTGGAGGTACTACAGACCAAAATATGTGAATTGACCTAGACATACCTTAGTTGAAAAGTTAATAGTTTGCGAGATACAGGGTCTCAAAGTTACAAGTTTATTTTTTATATTACATTGTTGCTTACACCCTGTAACTTGCCAAACTATCAACTTTTGGACTGAGGTACGCTTAGGTCAATTTACATATTTTGGTCTCTAGTATCTCCAGTTTCGAGATTCCCCAACCTATCGCTGACACCCTGTATATGCAGGACAAATTTAATTTTCTTGCTCCACGTTTAAATTCTAGAGACAATTTCACACTTTCTATTTGCCTACCGCTAGAGGAAACATGTGTGTTGTTCTCCGCTATTTTACTCTTGTGGTATGGCTTATGACGTTGCAGAGCAATTGCATATATTGTTGAAAGTGTGTAAATAAGTAAAAATCACATTAGTGTTTGTGTAGCAGCTCTTGTAACATTTTTGAAAGTACTCGGACTTAGGGAAAGGTGCATATTAAGTCAGTTTCAACCAGTATATTTTATCAAAAGAAGACGTTGTTGGACATAACTTGTGCAAATCAAAGAACTGATTTGCAAAAGCTGACCTCATATGCTTTCTCCAAACATTCATGATGTACCCCCCAATACATTAACGCACCATCAAACAAATAGCCAAGGTTACAGCGTATTTTTGCAGTATCAGTTACCTGATTTGGATGATTTTTCAGTGAATGTCGACCGATTTCTCCATTGAGCTCGTGTATTCACAGTATTTGCAAATATACAAAGTTTGACTGCTACGTGTTTTTTCATAAAAATGCGGTCCATGGTGCAGCTACCATATCAGTTTAAAATGAAACCACATTGTATCGGTTTTTTGAAATTTTTATTTGCTCTTCACCTCACATATGAATATTTAAAAAATAGCAAAAACCACCAAACAAAGCAAACAAAATGCGGCAGTAATCGAAAAGTATCGTAAATAACAGGCATCCGCGTTTCTACAAAAAAACTTTCATAAGGATAATTTTGGTTTGGTCCTTCCCAAAGTAGAATTGACCTTACAGTTGCGTGTTTCTTTTGTGTAGCCTACTCTGAACTTAAGAATCCGAATTGAGCGTTCGTGATGTTCATGACATAGTACCGATTTGATAGGTAGCCTTTCCAAATTGGGGTACCTCGTACTGCTTAGCTTCAAAAAACATGTATATTGTGTCTTTTGGATCAAATATCAATATTTAAGTACTATAGCTATTAAAGCACCTCATTCAAGCGAATCATTTTCCTCAAGCACAACAATTTTCCAAAACAAACCATATCTGCATCTGCTTGTAAATTATCAGGGTCTTTAAGCGGGCTTTTTGGTACTGAAAATATTTCAAATTTCAAGTTGGTCGCAGATATGAGATTTTTATATTCCAAGTTTTCTATGCAGCTGTCCTAAAAAAAAGTGATATGTCTAAATTTTCGAAAGTTCGCTATAACACATATAAATTATCGAATTTTTAACTTTCCGAAATAAATGCCTTTCGGTTCGACCTCGTATTTTTTTTGACCACTGTCTCCATGCAAAAATAACGTTTCTACGGTGTTACCCTAACTACCAACACATCAAACATAATATTTCTTTCTGAAAGATCGTTTTCAAAAAGAATGAGAGAATTGTATAAGTTATTGGGAGAAGGTCGTTTAGTGAATGATGTAGTTTTGATTTATAATGCTGATCCGTCCTCAATATACCAATTAAGTAAGGCGAAGGAGGACCCTTTCATCCAGAACCTTGAATGAAAACTTACAGTTTCAAAGTGGAATAATAGAATCCAATCGTAGGTACTGTAAGAAGAACTTTAAATTGTAATTTGTTAAGGTATATACGTGTTATAACAAATTTACTAGGTACTTTTTCAAAGTAGCATCTCTTCCAGAGCCGCCAAGTGTACCCGACTCTTGGATAATCATATAAATAATTACAGTACTCCTGAAAACTATACAAGATACAATGCTGCACTTTAAAGGATGTATTAGGGACCAATAACGAGCATTTTGCCTAATTTTTAACACGGTCAGCTCGCTACTGTTGGTTGATACGAGGGATGTCTTTCAAGTTTTGCATACAGAAATATAGTAGGTCGCGCGGATCGAACGACAGTACTGAATCTTAACCTCACTCTTTAGTAAACTTAAATTCAAAGTTTCACAACAATACGTGCAGTGTTCTCACTACAGTGAATTTTTAAGTGTCACCAAGTCATTAGAAAAATGGTACTCAACTGAGAATATTTTCGCGCCATAATTTATTACAACTTTCAGAGACAACAATCGCAACAAGAATGCCTTGCTGAGTTACTGCCTGTTTTCGGCAACGAAGCGCGAGATCAGTCTACAATTTCCCGTTGGTATGGAGAATTCAAACGTGGACAGTTGAGTCTTAGCAACGATCCCAGGGTGAATGCACCAAAAACGGCACTCGCCCAGGAAAACGTCGATGCTGTGCGCAAACTCATCATTGAAGATAGACATTTGACATATCGCGAGATTGAGGCGTCCTTGAAGATCTCAAAGACCTCAATTCAAAAAATTTTACATGAGTAAGAAAATTAGTTTCTCGTTAGGTACCCCACCTGTTGACTGAAGAGCAGAAAGCAGCCAGCGTTAATTGGTGTCAAGAAACGCTTGACCGTTTCAATTCCGGAAACTCAAAAAATGTGTGCAGCATTGTTAGTGGTGACGAATCGGGGATTTACTGTTATGAACCAGAAAATAAACGACAGTCGACTGTTTGGGTTTCCAAGGTGAAGAAAAGCCAACAAAAGTCATCCGTTCTCGAAGTGTCGCGACATTTGTGTCAAAAGCGGGTCATATTGCAACAATTCCTCTTAACGAGCAAAGAACTGTTACTGCGGATTGGTATACCACTATTTGTTTGCCAAAAGTCATCACCGAGCTTCGAAAAATCAACCCCAAAAGAAGAATCATCCTCCACCAAGACAATGCAAGCTCGCAACATAGCCCAAAAAGCAGGACAGTATTTAATGGAAGAAAACATGGAATTATTGGACCATCCTCCATGTAGTCCCGATCTAAGTCCTAACGACTTCTTTACTTTCCCTAAAATTAAAAACAGACAGCAGAATATAAACCAAACTATATAACTAATAAGAAACTTTAAGAGTTATTCTTTTGTAAAATGTTCTAACTGTAACAATTTAACAATAATCGCAAGTAAACACGTTTGTTCCCAGGTAACTAGAGCAGTCTTCGTGCCACCAAATCTGACAGCTGTCACATTTTATCCACTGGGATGTGCTAAAATGTTCGTGACATCCAGGACAAATTGAATCACCTTCTTTAGCGTTTGGCGTTTTCTTTATTTTTGTGGGGTTTGGAACGTTTCCAGAGCAAGATCCGAAGACATTTCTTTTACCGCCTTTTCTCTTTTCCTTTTCTTCTTGTTCTTCCAACATCTTATCCTTATAAGGTATAGACGAAAGTATTTCTGACTTTTTTGACTTGTGTTTTCGTATCTACACATGTTTAGCTTTGGGCAAGGGTACAATCATGCCTGGGGTAACATGTGATGGGCCTGGTACGTTGAGATCAACAACAGGCGTATTAGTTGCAGTTGCGTTTTGATTAAAAACTGGACTTTGACTGGATGTTCTATTTTCGGTGGCTTTGCAATTGATTTTAACTTTAATTCTTACAAATACGGAGAGAGGCATATCATCGTCATCGCTAGAGTCGGCATTGATAGCATTTTCAGTATCTAACAGAGGTCTGTTTGTTACTTCGGCTGGAGCGAAATCCACATCAGAAAAGACATTAAATGAGTATAGTCCAGTGCACGCAACAGAGTTTCCACATATTTGAATCGTAGCTACCTTTGAGTAGGCAGTGTGAAAAAGTGCTGAAATTTCCTTCATTGTTATTGGTCTCAGATGCTGATTTACCATCCATTTGTCACATTCCGAAGAAAAAGCTGACTTCAGTTGGAAAGAAAAATCCTCTGTCCAATGGTTGAATCTTGTGGCTTGCATGGGGAGGCAATGTCAAGAGGGTAATGAAGTGACTTCTAGCAAACAAGATCGCTTCTAGAGAACAATGCGACACGTGATTGTCCATCAACAGCACTACCGGATCTTGTTCTGATGGTCTAACATATTCCAAGAGATGGCGAAGCCATGTTACAGATAAGTCAGTGTTTATATACTCAGAATCAGAGATCATTTTTAGGGTACCTGGTGGTGCTCCATAAAAAAGCTCGTCTTTCATGCGTTTTCGTGCAAAGACCTGGTGGCACCCAAATAGCTGAAGCACTCATGTAACTGCCCTCTTTCAGCAGACACCACTTTCGAAACTGACCTTTTGCCTTTTGTGGAAAACACGTTATGCATTTTATTTGGTACGGTAGACAACCCGGTCTCGTCCATATTAAAAATTCTATGGGGTGGAGCTTTTGTTTTTTCGTAAACTAATTTGAGATTATCAAAAAATCTTTGACATTGAACCTGATTGAAGCCAATGGCCCTAGCCAAGCTGCATTTCTCCGGTGTTCTTAAACTTGATGCGTTATCCTTATTGAATCGGTGGTCAATTTGGTTCAATTCAGCATAAGACAAGTAACTTACGTATAAAGGTTAGATAGTTCTATTTAACTAAGGGCCGATATCACCAACATTAATATTATGGACCAATGGGAAAATACCTTATCGAAATGCAATTTGACAGAAGCTGTAAAAGGTCTCTGAATATTAGTGATTTCTATAATGTTGAATAAAATCGTGAAAATTCGACTGTATTATAAACAAGACCACTTTTTGATTCCAACATGATGCTTTTGTACAGAAAAAACAGGACAACAGCGGGGAGCAGTGTTGCCATATTAAAATTCTAGGGGTTGCGTACTCTTAGAAAACGCGTACTCTTAGGTGAACCTATCCTATTTAAGAAATTAATAATTTGTTGGGTCAGATCACAGAGAATCGAGAATTTTTTTTTACCTTAAATCAAACGCCGGCCACAAGTTTACCATGCTGTTTGTAGCCGCCTTTATACTGAAAATATCCAGATACCCAAGTGACGTACAACATCTAATATTCACGAAAGCCTTTACATCTTACCCGTGGAAAAGCTCAGCTAATCATAGGAACTCGGTGGTACGGAAAATAATCTTGGCAGTATATTTATGTTTATGCAGAATCGATATTCCCAACTTGACTTCACGGAGACTTTCTGATATTCAGCAATTGTGTTCGATATTTTATAACTATGACAGCGCAGTTGCACAATAACATGCAAGGCCTGGTTAAACTATCGGAAATACATACGTTGGATTTGACCTGGATTGTCAAATTGAAATTGGCAGTGGATACAGAGATATCACCCGGCACCGGTGGTGTGATAATTATTTGAAGCTTAGTGATTTGAAGAAAAAAATGCCGAAACACGTCAAAAGATTTGTCGAGGGGGCAACTTTTTAACCAAAAACTGCTTCACCCCCTTCCATCCTCTGCCCCCTAGGGTCAACCGCATCAAAATTTCAAATGACAAGGGGTATCGAGTGATAGTTTGTTTGAAAGGCCTTTCAAAGTCCTTCATTTTGACGTTTGATTTCTTAAAATCGGTGGATTCCTTTCCAAGAAAATTAGAAAAATCTTTATTCAGCTTAATTTGTTCAGATAGAAAATAAAATCACTTTTTATTTAAATAAATGTTCAATATGTTGCCCGTTATTGGCCAAACAAGATACAGGTGATGTTCAAATTCCTCACGGACATTTTCAAAGACATTTTGTAGGATATCCTAGCAGCTGTCGATGATGAGTTGACGAAGTTTATCCAAACTCTCAGGCCTCAAAGAAAAAAATGTAATGGCGTCAAATCAAGCGATCTAGCAGACCATTCTATAGGCCTTCTTCGCCCTATCCTTAAGCACAGCCTAAAAAACAAGGCAGTATATTTTTTGTTTATTCAAAGTTTCAAAGTTTATTCAAATTCAAAAACCAATATAACTTACAAATTAAAAAAAAACAACCTTCAGCACAATTTAAATAAAAAAAAGCTTCAAAAATACATGAGCTTGTATACTCTTGCTACCCTGAATAACCAAGACTGCAACAGAAATCTGAGCAAAAGGTACTAGCATCGGATCTAGAACCAGCAAGTAACGGTATATGAATTGTGAAAATTCTGTATACTTTCGTAAAGGGTAAATGTCTGAATCTTGTCGTCACAAATCCTAAATTACGTGTCTGCATAAACAAATCTAAAATTCATAACAATAGTACAGAAGCATACTAAAAACACTCAGAATTATAAATATAGAGTACATAAAATATGAATATCTGAAATATGATAATATAGGGATATTTCGAGTAAGGTCAAACTATGTTGTTTAAACAACAAAAATTTTGCGTAAAGGTTAAGCAGAGAAACAAGAGTACTACAATTTACTACAAAAGAATAGACACCTAAGCTATAAGCTTGTGTGTGTCATACAATATACAAATTCAATTCATGGCTAATGGTTATAAGGTATATTATGAGCAAATGTATATAAAAAAAAGAAATAAAAAAAAACATTAGATAGAACGAAATTACTGAGGTGAGTCAAGCTACCGTCGATGCAAGCATGTCAAAGTCATTTAAGATGAACTTCTTAATTCTTTTTTTGAAACTATACTTCGAGAGGATTTTATATTCTAGGGGTAATTTATTATACAACCTAATACCATCAAACTTTATGCATTTTTGGAAAACAGATTTATTCACTCTGGTATAGGTGTAACTTATATTTATTTTAGTTCTTGTTTCATAAACGTGGCTGGTTGGAACATTGTTTCGGGAGTGAACAAATTTTAGAACAGCAAAAATATGTAAACCTCTAACATTCAAAAGATCATTTTCAATGTAAACAAATCTACAACTTGACCTACATGGGATACGAAAAATAGTCCTGACAATATAATTTTGCGTGGTTTGTAGTATTTTTAAAGTACTAGTGTATGCGGCTCCCCAAATACTTATCCCGTAAGTTAGTAGAGACCCCACAAACGAGTTATATATTGAGAGAAGATTCTTTCTGCTTAAAATACTCCTAAGAATGAAAAACTTATGAATAATTCTCCTTAATTTTGATGCCAAAAGCTCGGCATGACTCTGCCATTTTAAATTACTGTCAATAGTGATTCCTAAGTATCTAATAACTTCAACTCTTTCGACAGTGTCAGCACTATCATTTATAATTACTGTTCGGTGGTGTAATGGCATGCCTGCTTTGGTTGGAGAAAACGTTACATACTTAGTTTTAGAGATATTAAGTTTAAGTAAATTGTTATCCAACCAGCATTTGACTTTATTTAATGACAACTCGGTATTCCGTATTGCGTCATCCCATGAATGACCAGTGCAAACTAAAACAGTATCGTCTGCATATGATATCATTTTACAGTTGAAATTACATCGAAGTAGTTCATTTATGTATATGAGGAACAGTGTTGGTCCCAAAACCGTCCCCTGAGGCACACCTATTTTGATCTTTCGAATGTTGCTTAAATCTGACCCTACCTTAACTTGTTGTAATCGATTAGCCAAATAGTTCTCAAATAAGTTCAGTACTCTGCTACGCACTCCAACACTTTCTAGTTTCTTCAATAAAATTGTATGCGATACTGAATCGATAGCCTTTTGAAGATCTAGGAAAACTGCAACAGTCTTATTTCCATCTTGAAAATTTTCAAGCACTTGTCCTGTAAGTTCTTGTAGAGATTGCTCTGTATTGCAATTTTTGCGGAACCCAAATTGACAGTTCGATATTATGTCATATTTCTCAAGAAAAGAACAAAGTCTGTTATTTAAACATTTCTCAAAAATCTTCCCAAATACATTGATAACTGAAATAGGTCTATAATTGATCATATTGTCTTTACTTTCAGATTTAAATATTGGTGTTACTATGCTTTCTTTAAATTGGCGAGGAATTACCGAGGATTTGAAACAGAGGTTGATAATGTGAGTTATAGGGTGAATGATATACTTCATGATAATCTTGATAGTTTTAGTGTGTAAGTCATCTTAATCAGTATTTATACGGCCGCCATTTCACTTTAATCACGGATCATAAACCTCTGGTTGCAATTTTTGGTGCAAAAAAAGGAATTCCATTATATGCAGCTAGTCGCTTACAGCGTTGGAGCATTATCTTAGCATCATATGACTACGATATCAGATATGTAAAAACAACAGAAAATGGAAATACCGACGGCGTATCTCGCTCACCCGATGAAAACACAGCTAGTAAGATGGACTATGTAGATTTCAGTCATGTATCTTAGTTAGAAAATAATACTGCATTTAGTTTTAAGCAAGTAGCCATTGAAACAAAAAAAGACGTTACTCTTAATAAAGTTTATATGTATTGTCTAACAGGCTGGCCAGATAATGGGGTCCCAAGGGAATTGACAGACTTTTATGTTAAAAGAGAAGAGTTGCATTTAGAGAGGGGTTGAATCTTATGGGGCATACGAGTAGTGGTTGCGAGCAAGTTGCGACAATATGTGCTCGATGAACTACACAGCACACATCTGGGTATGAATAAATGCAAATCATTGGCTAGGTCATATGTGTAGTGGCACAAAATAGATGAAGCTGTGGAGCTCATGTGTAGCTCGTGCTCAATATGCAATGCAGTGCGTACTAATCCTCCAAAAACTCCACTCACTCCGTGGCCCATAAGTCAGTATCCTTGGTCTAGAATCCACTTAGACTTTTTAGGTCCCATATTTGGAGACAAATACTTGATTGTTATTGACTCATTTACAAAGTGGTTAGAGGTATTTAAAATGCAAACTGTCAATTCTCGCAATGTTATTAGAGTATTAGCTACGTTATTTTCAAGAATGGGGCTACCCGACACAATTGTTTCT